GAGAACTTGTCGGTCACACACACATAAAAGGTTCGCAGATCAAATGGATGTCACAAATCTCTTAATTTGCAGGATTGGGTCTATCGTTGGGATATACACTCATTTTTCAGAAATGTGTAGTATTCACGGTATCGGGCACGATTACGCAAACTATTGGAAGAATGAGATCCATTTGGTCTCATTTTTCAAAAATTAAAACACACTACTTTCAAACCAAAAATATATATTTATTATCATATTAAATTAAATTTCAAAATTATTTTCAATTTTCAAAAATAAAAAAAAAAGTTGACTGATATTAATAAGTCATAACAACTTCCACCTAGATCCCTAAACATCATTAGAAAGTACTAGATTGCTGCCAAGTGGTATTAGAGCAATATAAATCCTAAATCCTTAGAAATTCATTAATCCCAATTCCTAACTCTAAATCCACATAACATAATTTGTCCGCCTATACAAATACCCATTCTACAGCACAAACAACCCACTTTTCCTTGGATGAAAAGCTTTTGAGTAGTAAATCATTATGCTGCTAAAGAGAGATCCTTAACATGGTGTTCAAGAGCTTACCATAGAGAATATGCAATAAGGAATCCTTCAATCATAATATAGGCTTGTAGATTTTGAAAGGAGATGGCATGGGGAAGGACCAATAGCCATAATGATGACCAACCAAACAAAGAAGATGAAGAAAAGCCCTTTCACCCAAATATCTCAAGCAATGAAAAACCAATACTTAATTCTTAGTATTAAATATAGAAGAAGAATGATTTTGAGATGAAGAATGACTTTAGATTTTAATGATTTATAAATTCAAATGAGAATATTCAGTCACTCCATACCGTGAAACAGGACGAGTACAAAGATATTACATGGAACAAATAAATTGGTCGCAATTAAACTTAAAAAAAGCACTTCTCCATGATGGGAGAATGTGATGTACACATGTCAACATGAAAATAAGAGCATGGTCACTATGTGGTCAAAAATGAAGAAAAAGATACAACAAAAATATATTCCAACACACTATCAAGAGGATATCTTTTTTGAGACTTCATAATTAACAAAAAAGGACTTTTTCATGGAGGAATACATTGTTGAATTTGAATGTGAGTTGGTGGAGCCAAAAGAGAATATGGTGGCAAAATACTTTTGAGATTTGAGACCATCTATTAGCAATGTGTTGAACTTATAGTTATGGTTGTCCTTGTTAGATGTATAAAACTTACCTTAAAGGTGGAGAATTAGCACAACAATATCAAATCAAGTCCATCCATGCATCAAGCAGCAAGGGTCCCCCTTCTAGAGAATCAAAGTCCACCCCGTAAAAAAAAAATCAATGCCAGGAAGGAAAAAGAGTGATTTGCAACACCATTAAACTTTCCAGAAATAAAGTGCATCAGATATCATGATTATGAGCACATTGACTCCAATTATTCAAATATGGGAGTAACTTTGTTTATTAAGCAGAGAATAGTTGACGAGGCAGATTGTGAGGATTTAAGAGAATGTGAATGAGAATAAATATTAGCTCCCCGCCGATGATAGAGAGATAATTGTTGTTTGACGAGTGCTCCAAACTGAGCCTAATGAGCATCAATGGCTATGGCACAACATCTTTTGTATCCATTGTATTGTAAAGTAAAAAGTGAGGATAATCATAATTGATGGGGCCAATTGTGAAAATATAATGTCTACTTAAATGAAGGACAAATTGAGCCTCACCATCCAAAAGTATTCCCAGTTGTAACTATTGATTTGGTTGAAGAGAATAAAATTAGTGTGGATAAAATGTACCGAATAATTTTTTTAGTGGAAACCACCAATATAAGTAGGTGTGATGTGACATCATACCTCTGGATGTCTGGATCTTCTGTTAGGCCGACCATGACAATATCACATAGACAAGTTATTATGGCCCTAAGAGCAACTACTTGTTCACCAAGAATGATAAGTGTGTTATACTTTTTTCTTTGAATGAAATCTTCGTGACTAGTGATCAAACAAAAATTGGAGTTATAGCATCTTGGGTTACCTTTTGATATACCATCAAAGGCATCAATACAACTAGTATTATTAATGCTAGAAGGAAGTAAGACAAAGGAAAGTGTAAGCTCCAAAAATTTGTGCCATTGACTCTCATTAACAATAGGGGTGTCAAAAATTGACCCAACACACCAATTTGACTAGAAAAATCCAGATTCGGAATGACCCAAATAATAGATTCAGGTTAGGAATCCTAACCCGTTTATTTTTTCTAGTAGGGTTCAAGTTGACCTGCCAGCTTGAAATTGACCCAAAACTGACCCGCAAAACCTAAAATAACTCAAAAGCAGCCCGTCAACTCAAAATTTACCTAAGATAGACCTGAAATTTACCCTAAAAGCCATTACGTCTTATGTTATATGAGAGATATGAGTTGGGTTTAGATCGATGGATTGAAGACAGGTTAGGTTTGAGTTAGACATTTTGATTTGCTTTATATTTGGGTCGTGTTCGGGTCAAGAAGTATTGGGTAGAGTCAATTTCAAGTCAAACCCCAACCTCTCTCTTGCGAACCTGACTTGACAGCCCTAATTGAGTGTTCTGTGTGATTTAAGGTGAAATTTTTTATAAGGCATGTTATATTTTAGATAACACACTGCCCAGAGATTTCGCTTTCAATTTAGAGAACCTTTCGATATGATTTGAGATTTTTTATCGGTGCAGAGCCTTATGATTAATTAACTATCACAATAAAAGAAGAACAATTTTGATTAAAGATAGTCATCATGGGCATTAACTGTTCAAAGTCAATATATAATAGTAAGAATTTAGATCTCGAAATTAAAGATTTATCATCTTAACTTAAAAGCAAATGATGGGAGAAAAAGGTCACTAACTCAATGGGATTTCTATATTTTTGTCATACCGGATTATCATGATCTATATTTCACTTAATCAGAAGAGGTAGTGGACCCAACTTGATCAAAAGATCATTGTCAGTAGCCATGGGTTGTTCATCCAAAAGAACTTTATACAACTAAAGTGAGTGTTTGTCTAAGAGGATAAATTTAAATTGATCTTAGCTAATAAAAAGTTTCATCTATCAAGCATACCTTATGTTTCACAACTTAAAAGGCAGTCATAGAAAAACAAGCAGGCTATGGCCATGACTATAATAATAGTGTCATTTGGCAGCAAATCACTCAATTAAAGAGTTAAGGTAAAAATTATTATTATTTGATGTTATTTTGCAACAAAACTATGCAAAAAAATGACAAAAATCACATTCAT